CCCCCCCAAATCTTCTCTAGAGGGATTTCTTCATAAACAGATTTGAAGGGCAGCATCAGGGGCTGAAGGATGGAGGAGGGGAAGGAAAATGTCAGTTCCACAAGAAAGAGATCTGCTCACATAGCATCGGATTTAGTTTAATAATACCTTTAGTTTAATAATATTTTGTCTAATAATACCCAATATTCACTTAGTTCAGTTGCAGGATATCCCAAGTCAAGATAGAGGATTCAGCTGAATAATCCACTAAACCCTTTCTAGCTCCATGACTATATTGAGTACAAAAAAAAAATCAATCCACCAAAATATCATTTATCCTAGTCAAATCTCTCCTCTCTAAAACGATTGGTGAAAATGTTTTTCCATAAAATTGCTAACACTTCTATGAGTGACTAAGATTTACAAACCACAAAACCCAATACTAAGTATCTGTTTTCCCTTCCCTTTGGCCATCCCCAAAGCTTTAACATACATGACATGAAACTCAGTTTGAGATTATGGCAACTATTCAACAATAAGAAGCAGAGCATGTTGACATATTTACCTCTCAGACTATAAAGCAAGTTGCATTTGTTAACTCCAGAACTGGAAAATGTTTTATACATTGGTTAAAAAAGGAAAACCACAGAAATTGAGGCATTCAAGAAGCCCTGCAAAATACATTAATCTACAGGGCACCAGGTTACCTACCCTGCATTATAGCAATACAGAAATGAGATACTTTTAGCATAATTGACAAAGAAACTCTCAAGTTCTCTCTCCCACACGCTTATGATTATGTAGCATCTTATAAAACACCTTCAGAGTAATAACTGTATCTGGATATGTTCAAAAATCCATGCTTCTTCACTGTGAGACCTAAGTGTAGAAACTCTTTTAATTTAATAATAACAAATGGACTACTAAACATATAAGAATGGAGAGTATTCTGAAATTAACACTGTATTATCAGATTGCGTTCCTTCTGATGTACATTAAATATACTGTAACATGTTTAGGTTGTGGTATCAGTACATGTGTCTTAAGGCCAATCATAACACACTAATTTCACATAATTAGCAACACAGAAGTTACCTGGAGAGAACTAACAATGCAAATCCATAGATATCCAACAAATTGTTTGGGCAGACTACAAACTCCTAGGAAAAAAGTATGGTAGTCTGAGGTGTAATATCTAGAAGAGTTGCAAGCTTTTTATTATGAAAACATCTTTGAGAGTGGAAGATGATGCTCATTTTGAATGCAAGTTTCATTGTTTGGAAACAGATTGTTTCACTTGGCTACTGAAACAATCTTTTGGGTCTACACACTAAATGTGATACAGAATATTTAATGCAATCTCAACAGATACATTTCCTAACTCCTTGTTACTTAAAAAGAGACATGCTGAAATGGGTTGTGAGGATAACCTTGGGAGACAGGAGGAAGAACCGTAGCCAAGTTTGACAAGAGATATCTCAGCCCAAAGAAGGAATGGGGGTGGAGAAAGCGTCTCAGAAGGGACCCTGACCCTCCCTAGTTCTCTGGAAAGTAAAGGCAGGGGAGGAGGAAAGCTGTTTCAGACTTGCAACAAACTTCAGACTGTTACTGTAATCTTACAAAAAAGGTAGTGTTAGTATTCATGGTTTGTGATTCTTGTCTGGACTACCTTGAAGGCCTGACACATACCAAGACAGGATTTGATTCTCCCATGTGCAGACTGTATGCTCTCAATGTAATCTTCAAAAAGCATATTATGGCAGCAAATATAACTTTTGCTTTGGTATGAATCATGAAAAAGCTAAAACCCTTCCCTTACTGAAAAAAGGAAACCATTCTTCAAATCTATCTAAGTTGCCAGACCTGAAGAGGAGAACTAGCAGCTGCAGCTTATTAAAGGGATTGGAAGATATAGTCTTGTTGGCATGGCTGAAATGTTTCTGAGGAGAAAAAAAGAACCTTTCTTGCAATCTAGACAATACTTGAATTAGGCAATGAGAAAGAGAGGGAATAAACAACTGAATGCCTGGCTTTTAAAAAGGACAATATATTGGCACCAAATACTATAACCAGGAAGAACTGTTTCTATCCCTCCCTTCATCTGGACCTCTACTTAGATGAAACTGTCTATTTAGCTAAAGCAGCTGCTTGATTAACTCCTAATGCTGAACTGTTTACCTAAGTAAAAATGATTTGCAAAGTTAGAAGCTGGATATGAAGTTGAGAGCTGGATTTATGGGTAAGTTGGTAAGCTGAGAGCCTATCGAAAAGCTTCAAAAGATTTTCTATTCTTAATTTGCATTAGCTCTTCAAAGTAAAACTTGATTTGGAGAGCTAATGCAACTTATTAATGTAAGTTAAAAAAGCAGCAAGGAACAAAATATGTCATCACAATATTCCAAGAAAAATCCTGCTCTAGAAAGCTAGTTGCACATAGTATAGAAGATATTTCTCAAGGATTATTTATTCTGTTTTGCTATTTTTCAACATGGTCAATTACAATGTCCTCATATTGTTCTTATAAAGGAAGAATGATGAGCTTCCAAAAATTTGGAATTTTTGAGGTGGTTTCATTTATTTTCCATCAGAATTCAGAACAGTTTGAAGATGCAAGAGCTTGAGGATGCGCAAATACTGTCCTATTTTGGGCTTGGGGTAGAGGACTACAACTCTGTAAGATGGAATTCGCTTTGTGGCCAGTTAAGAATAAAACATATCACTAGGTTAGATGGATAAAACAATCTCATCTGGTATAAAGCAGCAGCATATTTTCCTATGAAGAGAAGGAGAAGGAAAGGAACTTGCCACTACTACCTCATTTTGCTCTCTCCTCACTTGGGAAAGTCTAGTTCATGAGGAGAAACTTGGAAAATTTTCCAGTCACAAGAACTGAAACTGAAGAAATCCTCCTCCAAATCTTTCTATCCACTCTTTCTACGTAAGATGGGCTGCTCATACTGACCCATTAGTATCTCCCCACTCTATTCCATCCTCTTGTTCTCATGTCCTACTATTCTACCAACTCACTAAGCCCAATATGGTATCCCTTACCCCTCTCTTACTGGACCATATATTTAGGGCTCTGTCTATTCTCTCACTCCAGGGGGCCATCCACCATAGCTCCTCATCTCTCATCCAAAATGCAAATCCCTGATAAAACCTGGAGCAGCACCCAGATCTACCAAGAGATGATAACCTGGGAGCTCTTCCACAATGACACAGGGCCTCTTCCAATCATCAGAATTTTCAGCAGGACTTACAGCAGCTGCAGAACACAACGTCCCTGCACCAGTGTTCCCAACCCTAAACACAGCCACAGCCACCGGTTGCCTAATTTGCTGGAACACCTCTCTCAAAAAATGATGCTGGAAGCCTCTGTTCACTTCCTGTTCTTCACTGTGTGCTCTTCCAGAGAATTCACCCATGTCTGAGCCAGTAGACTCTTCTCCTGCATCA